CCCCAAAACCCCAAAACCCCAAAACCCCATCTCTACCCATCTCCGTTGAAATGCAGAATGAGATACTGACCAACCATATCTTGCAGCAACCAGGCCTATGTAGTGGAGCTGAAACCGAAATTTAGACCAACAACTGAAGAAGGATTTTGATGAGAGGTAGAGCTGTGTGGGAATAAAGCAACTATTTTCCACTCCGACTTTAAGTATACGTTTGTGATCATCATCCCCAGCAAAAGAGCAGGGACAAATGGTCCAATTGCCAAGAAGAGGATACACCGAAAAATCAAAGCTAATCTAACTAAAGATAAAGTAGTTGAATAGAAGGCTGACATACAGTTGAAGGGTTGAGGATGTGTATCAGAAACTTTAGAGTTGCAATAAAGTCCAGAAGTAATGAACAAGAAATAATCGGAGCCATGGTGGAAGCTAAACTGATTCAAGAAAGCCTAATCAAGAATTCTAAAGATATTGAAAACACCAAAGAACAAAGATCGATAAAAATTGTGAAGATATCGTTGAGAAAATAAAAGATCTTTAGCCGGCTGATGAAAAATTAAATTCTCATCCAATTTTGAGCAGAGAATTACTTGCCTCTAATATAAGATTTCATGAATGTTAGAAAATGCAAGATTATCAAAGTATTTCAGTTAACTTCTTAAAACGAATGTTCAAGAAAGTAAAGAAGATTACTTCGATGATTAAGATTTAATCTATAGGAGGAAAAATTTACAGATTTCAAAAAGAAAGTAGCATTATGTTTTGATCCTGCTACATTTAAAGGGGTTGACTAATGCTTTGAATACATATCCGAGATGAGAAAAGTTGAGGTGAATAAAACTCTCTTTCTAAATGTAGATTGCCCATATGATCTTAATTTTATGAAACGAGTGAGGAGTAATATTTTCCAAATTTCCATATATTTTGAATACATAAAATTGACTTGGATTTGAAAATCATTAAAGACTTCATATTCTCTTCATTCCCTAATAAAGTGCAAAGTCTGTATTTGAATCAATGAGGAGCAATGAAAAATTGCGACCAGATTATTGATGTTGTATGATATGTAAATCCCAAAGTTACAAGAGCTTTATGTCTTCATAACTTTGAATAACTCAAAGTCAGATGAGAACATTGCTTTAATTTACAAAAGATAACAAGAAGTGCTTAAGCTTTGATAGCTGTAAGCTTGAACTAAATACTGTTCCAGAATTGCAAAGCTGCCTAGCTCGATCAACAATCCATAAACTTGATCTTTCAAATTGAGGAGGACCAAAATACTGAGATTGAAAGAACCGGTCAAAAAGGTTTGCAAATTAATCAAAGGATTATCTCAAAGCAAAAACTTTAAGACAAGCCCTTGTGGTATCGTAGTGTTAGGCTGGGAAATGAACATGAGATACATACGCAAAATATTTGATGAAAACGGCTTCAAATATGTGAAACTGTCAGTTAATTTGAAAGCTGAATAAATGATAAATTTCTTAATTATAGAATTTCAATAGAAGGATTTTTATTTGGGGTTTTGGGGTTTTGGGGTTTTGGGG